TTAACTGATTGATACTTTTCCTGAAAAATCATCTCAGGAGATGTACTCATGACCACTTACAAATTTATGATACTCTTTCCTAATCATGAGTCCATTTAGCATCATGTACTGGTTTTTACCACTCTGCCTCAATGCTTATATTCCTGGATGATAATTGAAAGAATTTAAAAGCATAATGGGAAGGATGATGCCACTGAAAACTGTGAGAGAACTGTGCTGAACAAGTCAAGAACAATTACAAGATTATCTTTGTGTGCAGCTAGGATTACGCCACCAGAATCCAATGATGTCACAAGTCACCAGTGGTTTGCAGACACAAATAGAACTGCAGATAAGGAGCCTGCAGAACAAAACCTTTTTATTTCTTTCAACAGATTCTGGTGACATTGGAAGCCACTGGTGACCACCAACTGAACAAATGAAAAGGAGATAAGAAACTTGTAAAACAAGATTGTCATGAAATCTGGAGGTTCTCATAACAGTAAAAACCCCCAGTGGTTGCTGCTAAAGCTTACAATAGACTGATAAGAAATTATGGGTAACAGGGCTTCGGTTCTTGAGGGAATCCTGTGACAAAAAATAAACAAAGGCAGAAAAAGCTAGAAAATTCTTCAAGGTCAGCAGAGCCCTGGAATAAAACAGTTACACTGCTTGCATAAAATTCATCTTTCTTTTAAGGCCTGCAGATTCTGTCCAGCTTAGAAAAGAGGTAGGGGATTGAATGATAAACATTTGAGGTGGCAAATGGTAGAAAAATGGTTAATTAAACTACATGGCATCCATTTTACAATGTGGGGTTCTGGGGGACCAAATATATTTAATTTGATGAAAAAGAAAAAGTCTTTGACTCAGTATACTTCTGTTACCCAGGGATCTTAGGAAAGAAAGTGGCACAGAGCGTCAGGCCCCCCTCCTGAAAATGGAGAGTTCTACAGTAGCTCCAGGTCCTATCAGCAGTGAACGCTGCCTCCTTGGGTTATCCTCTGGACCTCTCTGCTCTGCCCCTGGAAACTATGTCTGGAGTTGAGGTTCCTGCCTTAATCTTGACATGGCCCTGTTCACACCTTGTTTTGCAGAATTGCAGTGACCTCAGATGTCTGAAATCCTCCGGAAAATAACAGTAGGAGAGAGACATGGTTGAAGACTTTCAGGTTGCCTGGCTGGGGCAACACGGCAGGGAATGGAGTAAGTTGAGATGGGAAACAGGAAAAAGAGTTAGGGGACTATTATACTTCATCGAGCGAGGTCCAGGGTGGAGCCTCTAGGATGTGGAGGTGAGAATGCAACTGACAGATGTCTGCGGGACTTGAAAAGTAACTGTCCGTGGTGGGGATTAAGGAGAAAATGGTCTACGCTGGGTCCTGGGTATGATGCTGGACTTCCGGGGTGAGTGGCCACGGGACCAGCTTGAGGGGGAGTAGGAGTGGGGCCCTATACAAGAAAGGGTCAGTGGGGAGGAAGCTCGGGAGGTTCCTTTGGGTTGTGCTAACTTTGAGATGTTGGAGGGGAGGGTCACATGGAAATATTTAGCAAGTGCTAGGAAATGAAACCAGAATTCTGAGATGAGGTTAGCCCTGGGGACTCAGACAGCAGAGTCTTTGGCATAGAAGGCAGAGTTCAAAACCGTCGAGGTGGAGGAATTTGCTTAAGGAAATCACGTATGAATGAGGAGCTAGTTTAAAAACTTACCCATCAGCCTAGGAGAGAAAAGAGGAAGCAGTGGCCAGAGGGGTCAGAGGAGAACCAAGAAAACCTTGAGCAGGACTCACAACTGAGAGCTCTCAGGACCAGCTGGGTCCCATATTCAAATATAGGGAGATTTCCCGTTAAAATCGAGACAGTTAGCTTATCTAGTTCCAAGAACTAGAGGGTGGGCCACTTGGGGTCTGTATGCCCATGTGGTTATAGCATCTGGATTGGGTCTGGCTGCCCTCTTTGGAAGAGGAACTGTGTTGCCGGCTGCCAGAGGCAGCGTCTTGCTCCCTACTCATCCAACATGCAGGCAGAGCTCTTACGATGACTACATTCAAAACTATCTCTAATTTAAAATATGATTTCCAGTATTGTGGGTATTTATATTACACGGCTATGTGTGACATAGGTAAATATAGACCAAATTTGATGATATATTGCCAGGATTTGGGGCTTGGACTTAATCAGCTTTATTCATTAATGTGGCTTGGCTGGTCTCTGTACCTTTTGGGTTTACAGCCTGAAAGAGTATGTTAGAAGCTATGGAAGCGGAAACTGGGAAAAAAGTAAGTTACATCAAGTGAAACAGAGCAGCCAGGGAGTTGAGCTGTGGACTTGACAGTGTCCGACATCCTCTGGTGACCTGGACAAGTGAGGAGCCACTGGAGGGAGAGGGGTGGGGGTGTGGCTCCTTTGAGAAGCATCTGCTGGGCAGCAACACACTGTATTGTGTATGTTTACGTATCTCATCCCACTGACACTCACAGCACCTCTGGGATATAAGTGTTATTCTTCCACTTTGCAAAAGAGAAAGTAGAAGTTCAGAGAGGTTAGGTAATCTATCTGAACATGCACAGCTAATAAGCAGCAGAGGTAGGTTTTAAACTCAACTTTAATCTCAATACCAACTATTCTTTCCATGACATCAGGCCACCTTCCCAGCAGTGGATTAGGTGTATTGAAAATACGTAATAAGGTGGTGAAACTTGATTAAAGAGAATCAACCTTAATTGCATAAGAGCTACTTCAAATGCTAATCAAAAATTTAGATAAAATGAATCTATGATATCAGAGTAAAGAGTGACAGCTTAAGAAACAAGTATAACTTCATGCTGGACACTCAGCATTGTCAGTGACATTTTGTGGAATAAATATACAAATTAATACTGTTTGTACTCTGCCTTTTCCAAACCTTATGAAACTTTAAACTTAAACAATAATTTATACAAAGCTTATTATGTATTTAAGCATTAGTACAAATGTGAAGGAGAAAAATAATTTTTTAAAAAGCTAGAAGAAATTTGATGTTAAATATAAGCCACATGCTTAAACGTTTGCTTTCTAAGAAAGGAAAGAGTATATATCAATTATTGAATAAGTTGGCTATTACCAGCTGGGCAAAATTGTGTTCTTGTTGAAAATGCTCAAATACTAGCCATAATATACATTATAGAATCAATAACTATTGTAATTGTGAATTCATGCTCTATAATTGAGCTTATTTTTCAGTTGCTCAAAGGATTCAGTCATGTTCTCAATTAACATTTTTTTTTCTAGTTTCCAAATTTGCATTTCAAGAAGTCAGCAGGCTTTGCTTCTGATTCCAATGAGTAGAATTTAAAAAGTGTTTTCTTTTTATGCTTTGCATTATAATCCTCCTCGCTTATCAGATTTGTCATTCGATTACAGTAAAAGTGTATTAGCTCATTTATTCATAATTTGTGAACATTTAGGAGGGGAAATGGAAATCAACAGTAGAGCATGAGAAACTTCAGGCCTTCCAATACTGTCCTGGGATCTGCTTTGTTAATGAGCAAAGTGACTCCAAAAAAAAAAAAAATCACACATTGCTAAAAGCTACAGAAATAGTATCTTTAAATTCTTCATTCCTAATGAAAATTAGCTGAACCATGTTGCAGAATGAAACATAGTCATAGACATGACTTTTAAAAGTCTGGTTCAGAAACCTAAAGAATCATCTGATTGAGTCTAAGCCTTCGGACACACGAGGTATCAATGACTGCTTTTTATAGGTTCAGCAACGGAGGCCTTCCAGGTGGGTACTTTATGTCAAAAAATTAAATTTCTTTATTGAAACTATGGGACTCTTTCTGTTAGGTATATTGACATTCCTCCTACTTAGAGCAGATTATTGAGGCCTCAGTGGACATGTCAGAAGCTTCTTATATCCTCAAAAGCCTGTGAGTCAACATCTCTGTGTAGTAAACAAGCCATTGCTTTAAGGTAAACCTCCAATATAAAGTGAATGTACTTAGTGTACATGGGTGTTTGGAGATGATGTCAGTGTAATTGAGGGGAATCACAGGAGTGGTGACCATGAGATATACAAAGTCACAGAGGCTTATGGCTTACAGCTTATAGTGCCCTGTGCTCAACATTTCAACTGTATGAAGAGGGACATTGAGACCAGGAGACTGTCTCACAGTATTGAAGCTGTCTCGTTTGGAAGATATGTCTTGATTTTCGTCCTCTTTAAAAATAACAAAATTATCTGCATTAACATTTATGAAAAATAAAAACTGTTATAGGGGAGATTGGTTTTACAGTTTTTATTGTTTCTATAATGAACGAAATTGCAATATCCCATGTTGTATTGGACCTGTGCCCTCTTGACCACTTGGGGAACTGTCTTCAAAAAGATTTTTTAAAAAACAAAGTTTTGCCAATGATTTCAAATACCTTGTTGATACAAAAGTAAGGCTGCAATGGACATTTCTTGATATATTTTGTTCCCTAAGAAAAAATAATGGCTAATCAAAAACTTCCTGACCTATAAATACATCAGGTACATTAGATTCCTTTCCTTTTTTTCAACATCACCTATGTAGACATATTTGAAAGAAAGATGAAAATAAATCAGTTATGTGAGGTTCTCAATTACATTTTGTTGCTACAAACATTGAAAGCAAGTAAAAAACCCTGTGTATTAGCTATAATCAAAGTTGGCTCCCCTCTTGGGAATAACCTGGGGCTGCTGTGAGCTGAAATCATAAACACCTAAGAAGGGAAAACTAGGCTCCAGTGTATTCAGTTACAAGGTCTAAAGCAGACATACCTGGGGCATGGCATCATTAGAACTTTCTGTAAGTCAAATTTAAATGCAGCAAAGTAGAACCTACAGCCTTGTCAATGTGAGTACACGTGCCCCAGAACTGTGCATGCAGAGTGCGGTATATTCATACTGGGACCTAAAAGGCGGGTTCGTCAGGGGTGCAGATGTTGCCGATAAGAACAGAAAGCATTGCCTCTTACTGATGAAATCCAAGGAAACAAACTCTGCAACTCACCGTTCCTGTGGTACCCAACGAAAGGTGGTTCATCTGTTGTGTCAGGGGGCCCATCATGTTTGCTGGCTGCATTGACATCGGATGGTCCATCGCTGGCGTAATCACAGCACCCTACAAGCACACACAATGTCCATCTGAAAACATGTCTCATAACGAGGGAAACAAAAAAATAAGTGTAGTAAACTGCATTATCATATGTGCTTCTTACTGAAAAGGCTACACTGAACCCCATATGATTTTTACATCCATCCGTGTCATCCTGTTCTTCTCTAAATATAAAAGAATATAAATATTTCTCTTGATACTGAGTAAGACTTTTAGCTTCTATCATTTACCCATGATTTATATAGAGAATTCTTGATCACGTCAATACAACCTTCCACCAGGGGAATAATGCCGGTCCACACGGGCTTCCTAACCAGATATCTTTAAAGGACATATTCAAATCAATGTAATGTTATAAAAATCAAAGTTACTGTCTCCCATATTTTTTCCTCATCTTTTGACCTACTTTGGTTTCTCTATCTGTGCTTTTGACACAAGACAGAAGACACAGAATTCTGTTCAATGCTGGCCAAATGCAACGCAGCTGAAGTTTTTTAAAACGCAGAAATATCAAGTGTTTCATCAGGTGTTAGGAAGGGCCTACATCTAGAATGTGCCCTTTGATTTATCATAACCGTCAGCAATGCGAGAAGTAACAGACGTTTTAGAAAGCTTCTGTCCATACATAAAGTGTCACATGGCCTGTGAAGCGCAGAGCCAGGCCATACTGCCTTCTCTTATTTTCCTCTCTCCTTCTCTTCTGCCTTAATTGACTAACTTAGGGTTTCCTGGCGGCTCAGACAGTAAAGAATCTGCCTGCAATGCAGGAGACCCAGGCTTGATATCTGGGTTGGGAAGATCCCCTGGAGAAGGGAATAGCAACCCACTGCAGTAATCTTGCCTGGAGAATCCCATGGATGGAAAAGAACCTGGCGGGCTACAGTCCATGGGACTGCAAAGAGTCAGACATGATCGAGCGACTAACATACACAGAGAATGGAACGATCTTTTTAAAAAGAAATTGAAAAGTTGGGGTTGGATGGGATTTTTGAGATTATCTAATTCCAATGCTTTATTTTAAAGGTGATAATAAAGGCAGAAGCTCATGCTAAAATAGCTCATTTAAACATCCAGTGAGTCAGACACGACTGAGCGACTGAACTGAACTGAGCTGAGTAGTAAAATTATTATGAATCTGAATGTCATTTTTTCTGTGAACTTGATTTTTCTATGTGACTTTTTCCTCTATAAGTAAAAATTTTGAAGAAATAAAAATAGGACAGACAGGTTCATGTGGATGACAGGATCTCAGTACCTAAAGTAATTGCCCACAAGCACACATGTCCTAAAATGCCTTGGCTCAGAATAATCAGTTTCTCACAATATTATTCACATCTAGCTCCCTGACTGTGGCTGGTAAAGGATCAGACTGTTACTCAGCATTCCTATGGGCTCCTCCTCACTAGAGAAGGAAAACAGAAATTGAACCATATGTTTTTAAATGATTGATATACAGAGCTAGGTTTGTTCTCAAAAGCATTTGGACTTTTGACCTAGAATCAATCAAAACAAATATGTTATTTTCTAATCTGCGGCTTGTAAACAGACGCCTACTTAATTGTAATTCACAGACACATCACTTTTTGTTCCTGCTGCCTGAATTTAACAAAAGCATCTTCATTTTTTCCTTATAAATAACATACTGGCCTTTATTTCAGGTATTTATTGTACCAAACTATCAGTAAATGGGCTTCCCTGGTGGCTCAGATGGTAAAGAAAGAATCAGCCTGCAATGCAGGAGAACCAGGTTCAATCCTGGGTTGGGAAGATCCCCTGGAGAAGGGAATGGCAACCCACTCCAGTATTCTTACCTGGACAGTCTCATGGACAGAGGAGCCTGGCGGGCTACAGTCCACAGGGTAATAAAGAGTTGGACACGACTGAGTAAGCAACTTTCACTTTTCATCAGTAAATACTTCAAGAAGAACTAAGATGTTCTTAAATCACTTAGAGATAAACTATAGAATAATTTCAGAGTTAAGATAAGTCCTAAAGTGTTTTTTCCAACCCAAAAGTGGCACTTTCACAACATTATAATCCTTAGCAGGCGCGAGACTTCAGTACTCTTCTTGAACTTGAGACTTAGACTCTTGTCCTAGAATATTTCCGCTTGAGGTTCTGACACACAGCTGACTGTGTCAGTTTGGAAACGCCACAATTCTAATCGGCTTGCTTTAGTCACATAAAGAATCGTTCATTGTAAGTCAGAGATAAGGGCCAAATTATGTTTGGCCAGGATAGCTTCTTCCCAGCGCCCTATGGGTGACCTCACTCCCGAGTGGAGTGAGAGGTAGTCTTGTGTCTTTTTGGTGGTGGCAATATGTAAATGAGACAAGGTGAGCCTGTGACAGGTAAATCAAAGTCTGTGCAGGATTGACTGGCTCCATTTGGGATTAATTTCAGAAGAACTATCTGGTCCCTTTAGAGAATCTTTTCAGGGAGGGTGTTCGGGGACTCATTTGATTACGGATGTCACTGCTGCTTCTGTGTATAAACCAGAAATCTGACAATCAACGGGAAGGCTGGGGAGGGATGTGTCATCATTTAGAATTGGAAATAACTGCACTCGGCACATAGTGGAAGACAATGTAAGGGGAACAATCCTAACCAGACCAGTTACTGCGAATAAAACGAATGAGAAACTAAGGCTTCTTGGAGGGGGGTGTGGTATTTAGGACTCACAGCCTTGTTCCGATTTAGTAAAAATGGTCAAGAAATTCAGGATTCCCACAAATGATTAATTTCATACATTTCTTAAGAGTCTCAAGGGCTGGAAGATATTTACAAGCAGTGAGTAAGCTGGAAATAGCAGACAGGAAGCCCTTGGGGAAACACACTGTCTTGATGGTAACTTTATTGGGGATAGACAACTTAGGGAGTAGGAAGTATTGGTTATCTATAACAAAGAGTGGGGTTTGTCAGCCACTGTGTTCATCAACTACAGTTCAACTATAGAATCTCTTCTGTATTATGTAAGATAGAAAAGAATGGGGGAGAAAAAATAACAAAAAAGGAAATGAAAAATCCATGGTTGTTAAGGCAAAACTATAATCATGCCTCATTACTGTCAAATCCCTTCCTATGGATGCATTTAAGCCATAGATTGAAGAGTGTTTTGTGACAGATGCTGCAAATACATTAAAGGTAATTTCATTTATTCAAATGTACAGAATATGCTGTCTGAATGAGTTTGGCTGGGAAATGCAAAGCGAAAGGAAACATAATTTTCATTTTAGCATTTCTGGATGTCTGGGTTTGCTCAATGTTTAAGCTGCAAAGAAAAATACTGTAACATGCTGCAATTCCCCTAAAAAGCACAATGACCAGACAGCTGACGGGAATGTCTGGTCTGTCTTAGCCGCCTCCTCTGCAAAATGGAGCGGCTCACACTAAAGAGATGTAGGGTGGAGCTGGTTGCCCTAATTCTGAAATAAACAATTTCAACAGGAATTTGGATAAAGTTTCCAAAGATCATTGATGTGGAGTAAACATATCTGACCTGAGGCCAGGAAAGCATATGTGGTGTTAACCTCCTGCCACTGTTTGAAAGAAATTTTAAGTCTAGGAGAGTTCAACAATGTTTTAATTTTCCAATGGAAATATGGGATCATTGGTGAATTGGGAAAAACACCAGCAAGGCTCTTTCCCGTCAAGAACACACATAGGTGGTTTAAATCCTACATTAATGCCAAGATATGGCCTACAATGAGAATTACGTGGATGAATGTTCCTGTGATTGCCAATATTCTGGGCCAATGCCACTTTAAGTATGATTAAGAATTTAAATTAGAATCTCTAGGCTTCAGGCAATGAAATCAGTGTTTTAAAAAACTTTCCAAATGGTTCTGATGCCCCCTGATATTTGAGAAGTGCGCTCTATTAACTGCTATTATATAAGCCAGTGTTACAAACACTTAGGTCTTAGTTATGCTGTTTCTCAATGATTTGTTTTAAACCAGTCCTGTGATAGGCCATGAGCCTTTGTGTAATAATTAGATTACATCCTGTTTAAAAATGCAAAGAGGTCAAGCCAGCATTTTTGATGAGCTGAAATGGGGCGATTATCTGAATAATTCAGGCCTCAGTCTGATGACCTGACATGCTTCTCTTTGATCAGTTTGTCTTGTGTTGGGCACATTTAAGAATCCTTTCTGTTGGGAATCTTAGGGAGCCTTGAATTTGAAATCACAGAAATGTAAAAATAAAAGATAGAAAAACTATTTGTTAACATAAGTGAAAAAAAAGGAAAATAAATATCACTTTCTTTTTCCCTCTTGTCCAATCTAGGTGTCTCAGGTCAGAATGTTTGCAGTCCAAACCGGTATACATAGGATGGATAACAAAAAGGTCCTACCTTTTTTCCCTACAGCACAGGGAATTATATTCAATATCCCAGGCTAAATCATAAGGGAAAAAAATATGAAAAAGATCTTTATGCTCCTTCAAAAAACAATGTTTACAGCCTGTATTGTGATCTTTTCCTATGGTCACTTATGCCAAACCATAGGACTTGTTAGTAGTAATCATTCAACACGATTTTAAAAAACATAATTCAGAGTGATTTGTCTTCTTTCTCATCTGTGTGCTTTCTGCCTCTCAGTTTTTAACATTTCTAGAATAAATATCTAATGGGGTTTGTGTACACCAGACTCCTTTTTTAGCCCCTGTGATGTGGCTTCCCTGGTGGCTCAGATGATGAAGAATCAGCCTGAATGAGGGAGACCAGGGTTTGATCCCTGGGTTGGGAAGATCCCCTGGAAGAGATAATGGCAGCCCACTCCAGTGTTCTTGCCTGGAGAATCCCCATGGACAGAGGAGCCTGGCGAACTACAATCTATGGGGTCATAGAGAATCAGACATGACTGAGTGAGCACAAGTACAGAAAATGATATATGCTTACACATACCATTCTAGGAGCAATGATGCTTTCATAATAAAAATGGCTTAAAGGCATTTCACTTAACTTGGGAAACAGCTATCCAAATGTATTGCCCTATGATATGAGT